CAAGTGATCAGAGCCACCTTCAACAAGTGATCAGAGCCTCCTTCAACAAGTGATCAGAGCAAGTGACCAGAGCCTCCTTCAACAAGTGATCAGAGCCTCCTTCAACAAGTGATCAGAGCCACCTTCAACAAATGATCAGAGCCTCCTTCAACAAGTGATCAGAGCCTCCTTCAACAGGTGATCAGAGCCTCCTTCAACAATTGACCAGAGCCTCCTTCAACAAGTGATCAGAGCCTCCTTTAACAAGTGATCAGAGCCTCCTTCAACAAGTGATCAGAGCCACCTTCAACAATTGATCAAAGCCTCCTTCAACAAGTGATTAGAGACTCCTTCAACAAGTGATCAGAGCCTCCTTCAACAAGTGATCAGAGCCTCCTTCAACAAGTGATCAGAGCAAGTGATCAGAGCCTCCTTCAACAAGTGATTAGAACCTCCTTCAACAAGTGATCAGTGCCTCCTTCAACAAGTGATCAGAGCCACCTTCAACAAGTGATCAGAGCCTCCTTCAACAAGTGATCAGAGCAAGTGATCAGAGCCTCCTTCAACAAGTGATCAGAGCCTCCTTCAACAAGTGATCAGAGCCTCCTTCAACAAGTGATCAGAGCCTCCTTCAACAAGTGATCAGAGCCTCCTTCAACAAGTGATCAGAGACTCCTTCAACAAGTGATCAGAGCCTCCTTCAACAAGTGATCAGAGCCTCCTTCAACGAGTGATCAGAGCCTCCTTCAACAAGTGATTAGAGCCTCCTTCAACAAGTGATCAGAGCCTCCTTCAACAAGTGATCAGAGCCTCCTTCAACAAGTGATTAGAGCCTCCTTCAACAAGTGATCAGAGCCTCCTTCAACAAGTGATCAGAGCCTCCTTCAACAAGTGATCAGAGCCACCTTCAACAAGTGATCAGAGCCTCCTTCAACAAGTGATCAGAGACTCCTTTAACAAGTGATCAGAGCCTCCTTCAACAAGTGATCAGAGCCACCCTTAACACTGGGATTGTTTTTAAAAAAAATATCTTAAAACTTCCCCCGAGCTTGCTGGATGTCTCCTCCTTCCACAGAATAAAATGAATGTTTTGAAGCAGTGACTTAATATCCAGGAGCTTGTAAAAAGCGATCTTAGCGTTAAGGTGATAGTAAATCCTATACCTAACAAGATGCCGTTTTTTTGTCTGTGAGATTGAATCTTTATTCAAATTTCCCTCTCTTGATGAAAAACAGTGCAAGTATTTGGAGGTAAGTGATTTGTTGTGTAGATTTTAAAAATAGCCTAATATTCGTATCCTACAGTGCACATCAATCTTCTAGTAAATTGCAAGATATTCTGTGGCATTTGATTGACTAACTAAGCAAGTATTTCCCCACTTATGTTTCTAGAAACCAAAACAAAATGGGCCATGTCCACTAAGCGACTACTGTTTCTTGATTGGCTGATAAAAGATTGGCCTGGGCTTTTGTAAGATTATTGCACTGTGACACTTCATTTATTTCGTATTTTTGTCTACAGTTTTTAACGTTATTGATTAAAAAAGCAATTATTATTTTTTTGACAGATTTGAATCAATACTAAAGTAAGCCCCATTCCACAAAGCGATCGAAGCATTAAGATGAACATAATTCCCATTCCTTAACGTATGCTTATGTCAGTCGTAGTGGTACAATCACTTTGTGGAACCCATTCCGCATCATGATTGTACCGCTACAACCATTCAGAAAAATGGATACCAAACGATGAAGAGATGTGGACCTACAGCCAGTGTCCGCTGTGGCCATCCCAATACAGACATAGCACAACTGTGACTGTTACAAACAAAGCACTTCATAATCCCGACTCGTGTTGTGACTCAAACTGCCACATCAAGTTAAAACCACATCACAGCCATGCTAATGAGTCTCTGCTGGGTTCCTGCAAGACAGAGGATCAACTAGCTTCTGACTGCTGTCTATAAGTTGATCAGTCTATTGTTTGTCATCAGTCTATCTGCAGCAGCTCATTAACAAGACACACAGAAGTCTTTGCTTAACTGACCAGCCCCACCACTCAAAACTCCTTGACCAGGTTCGCCTTTGAGCACTATTTTGGAAACAATGGTATATAAATGTCAAATTAATTATTCATTTTTAATAAATGTTATTGTTCTGTTGAATATAAACTTCAGACATCATGGCCTGATTTTGCAGGCTCTGAGTTTGTTATAGAATTTTATACTGAAAGTATTCCTGGTATTGTCTTTAATTTACAGCATTTTCCTTCAACTATTGGTACACACAATACATCTTTATGTCAACTTATAATATAACACTGGTCTACAGCGAATCTGGTTAATACCAGGGTATGAAACTCCCCAAAATTTCAGCCAGACCACAGGACTGGCTAGCTGAAATACTTGCCAGCCCTGACCAAAACCTGCCTGCCCACTATAATCATATGTTTCTTAGGATAATTTAATTAAAACTTTTAAATCGAATTCATTGAACATGAAGTAATGCAAGAAAAGAAATAGCAAACACTTTTTAGGTCAGATTTGTATTTAATATCCTAGAATACATCATGTAACTATCCTTATTCCTAAATAGGGCCTAAATTTTAGGTTGTCTAAAAGCTAACGGGGTTTCTGTTTGGTTACATTTTATCATTTATCTTTACATGTGAATAATGCTTATCATCGGGAAATATTTAGAATGTTTTCACATATGAAATATAACCCGACCGTCGGGCAGGGGGATTTGAAAATCTGGCAACCCGAGTTGAAATCAACCCTTCTCGGACGCTCAGGCAGGCAGGTATTTCGAACGCTGTTAATACTTATGATAATGAATACATACACTGAGCAACTGATCTTTGCACAGAGTGCTTCAAGGTACCCTTTATACTTCCAGGTACTATTTATACAACAGGAGGGACTAATTTTAACCTGGATGTTCATAGGGGAGGCAAGCATGGGTTGTTGAAGACCTATTCTAACCCGGATCTTCATAGGGGAGGCAAGCATGGGTTGTTGAAGACCTATTCTAACCCGGATCTTCATAGGGGAGGCAAGCATGGGTTGTTGAAGACCTATTCTAACCCGGATCTTCATAGGGGAGGCAAGCATGGGTTGTTGAAGACCTATTCTCACCCGGATCTTCTTAGCGGAGGCAAGCATTGGTTGTTGAAGACCGATTCTAACCCGGATCTTCATAGGGGAGGCAAGCATGGGTTGTTGAAGACCTATTCTAACCCGGATCTTCATAGGGGAGGCAAGCATGGGTTGTTGAAGACCTATTCTAAACCCAGATCTTCATAGGGAAGGCAAGCATGGGTTGTTGAAGACCTATTCTAACCTGGATCTTCACGGGTATGAAGTTACCAGTGACAAACAAGTCACTTGTTCAGGCCATCGCATTAGTTATATCTGTATCAACTTGGGTGTGACGAGTGAATGCCTTAACCACAAAAACAGTAACAATAATAATAATAATGAGCATATGGCGTCAAATCCATATCCTAATGCATGCTCAAAGTGCTCCATTATTACCCTGGTCAATGGATCAGTGAGCACTCAACTCAGCTCCCTGGGGACAGATAACCCACGTTGCCTGCTAGAAGGTTAACGGTCACATTACCATCTCATCCTACTGGTTACAAAGAATAAAAAAAAGTTGTTACCCATTATAAAGTATCATGTATTCATGTTCTTACTCCTAAATGCCTATCGACTGCCTCCGTGGTCTAGTGGTAGAGCGTCCGCCCAGAGAGCGGAAGGTCCGGGGTTCGATCCCCAGCCGCGTCATACCAAAAGACGTTAAAAGATGGTACTTGTTGTTACTACCCTGTCTGGCGCTCGGCATTAAGGGGTTAAAACAAGGACTGGTCGGCTCGGAGTCAGGATACTGTGTCTGAGTGGGGTTTTCATGTTAAACTGCGGCATGGTTTTCTCAGTGGGCTAGCACTATAAATCGGCATCAGTCCAAACTAGTACAAGCAGCCACACACACACACACACACACACAAACACGTGCATGTAATAATCTTGGACACGACGTTAAACCAAATTTCACCTCACCTCACCTACATGCCTATCAAAGACATCTACCGGGTACCCATTACCTGCTGGATTGACAGAAGCATATTTTGAAAAGTCGCTTTCATAAGGAGAAACCACATTTATAATGTGGGGCAGGACAAAACACAATAATAATAGGCCATTTGAATTGCGCATATTTCCACACCACTCAGGGGCGTGCTAAAAGCATTATTACTATCAGTCACAGGATCAGTGTGCACTAAAGAATCATTCTCAGCTCCCTGGGGAGTATACAACCCAAGCTGCCTGTTAGGCTCTAGAAGGTTAGCAACCACATTGTCATCTCATCCTACTAGGTACCCATTCACTGCTGGCACATTTCAAACAAAGTCACTTGCTCAAGGAGACGTCACATGGTCACTTATCCATAAAACATACATGCGAGTGGATGAGCTTTTTAAAGCTGCACAGTCAGCAATTTCCCAGCTTTATCACTGCAGCCTGTAAATTCTCAAATCTGTCCCAGTCATACTAGTGACTGAAAACATGCACTTGGGGCACAATGATACAATGTCATCTGACAAAACAATTCCATCGCCTCTTACAACAAGCAAAGGGCTGCTGGACAAGCATGGATTACATAGTTTGTTTGTTGTTTAACGCCGCACTCAGCAAAATATTGCAGCTATATGACATCATGAGCATCGATCCACACAATTGGGATACAATGACATGCATCAACCAAGTCAGCGAGCCTGACCACCTGATCCCTTTAGTCGCCTCTTACGACAAGCATAGTTGCCTTTTATGGCATGCATGGGTTGCTGAAGACCTATTCTACCCCGGACCTTCACGGGTCCTTAGACACATTAGACCTTTCCTATTCCAACTATGTGAGCAAGCCTGAAACCCAAATCCTGTTAGTCGCCTCTTATGACAAGCATGGGTTTGCTTAAGACCAGTACTTACGCCGATCATGGTGATGGATTACATTGAAAAATTAAAGACTGAAGACTTTTGAAGCATGCATTTTGACATCACCTTTCCAGTGTCTGTACATTTCGTCTTCCGAGTCGCCAACAGCATCATGATGGACCATCGCCCGTGTGAAGATCCTCCTCCTCGATCTGCTGTCCACTGACCCCATGGAGCTGGCTGAAGTCTGACGCGGTCCTGCACCCGACCGGCCGGAGTGTCTCAGGGCGGCACAGTCCCGAGGGGTCTGGTTCTGAGACACATGATCCCTTGACATGACAGGATCTCTGGATATATTGTGATCCCTTGATCTGTGGGAATCTGGGTGAGCTGGAGTTCTCTTGGATGTGCGAGGATCTGTGTGAGAAATGTGATCTTGTGATGTGTGTGACCCTTTCAGTTGATCTTTTGTACTAACAGGATTTCGTGTTGAAGGAGTATTCCTCACATCACCTCTGGGTTCTCTGTGATCAATTTCTGAATGTCTATTAGTCTGATAATCCCCAGGATCTCCAGCAGCTCTACAAATCTGAGTATCTCTGCGAGTTTCTCTCAAATTCTTGGAATCCCTCAAAGCTCCTGAATCTTTAGAAACCTGAGAATCCCTGTCAGTTTCTCTTGACATATGAGAATCTCTGTGTCTAGAAGCCTGAGAATCTCTGCAACCTCCTGAATCTCTCGATGTGTGAGAGTCTTGAAGACTTAGGGATTCTCTTGACATCATAGAATCGTTCATAGCATAATCCCTTGACATCTGAGAATCTCTGCGACCTCCAGAATCTCTTGATGTGTGAGAGTCTTGATGACCTAGAGCATCCCTTGACATCTGAGAATCTCTGTGTCCTGCATCTCTAGAAGCCTGAGAACTGTGACCTCCAGAATCTCTTGATGTGTGAGAGTCTTGATGACCTAGAGCTTCCCTTGACATCTGAGAATCTCTGTGTCCTGCATCTCTAGAAGCCTGAGAATCTCTGCGACCTCCAGATTCTCTTGATGTGTGAGAGTCTTGATGACCTAGAGCATCCCTTGACATATGAGAATCTCTGTGTCCTGCATCTCTAGAAGCCAGAGAATCTGTGCGACCTCCGGAATCTCTAGATGTGTGAGAGTCTTGATGACCTAGAGCATCCCTTGACATATGAGAATCTCTGTGTCCTGCATCTCTAGAAGCCAGAGAATCTCTGCGACCTCCGGAATCTCTAGATGTGTGAGAGTCTTGATGACCTAGAGCATCTCTTGACGTCTGAGAATCTCTCAAGGAATCTCTCATTGCCTGGGAGTTCCTCAAAGTGTCCCTAGAAGTGTGAGCATCTCCGGTTGCCCCACCACCAAGTGAGGGCACCTGCTTCAGGTCATCCCTGGAGTCTCCCGAAGGCTGACTGAGAGTCATGGATCCTCTCGAGACTGTGGAGGATTGCTTTGTGCTTGTGGATCCAATGGAGTTAGCGGAGCCTTGGTTGGGGCTCAAGGAGCTTATGGATTCTTGTCGCTGGGTCGGTGATCCATGACTGACGGATCCCGAGCAGTTCACGGCTGATTGGTTGATATCCATTTTCAGTATCTGCCTGTGCTGACAACAAAATAAATATTCTTGACACCACACTGTGTATGTTACCTGCTGAAATGCCAAGCTTAATCTGTTGTCTGAATTTATCCAGAAACAAACAAGACGTAGTTTTGAAAATGACAGTCACTTGTTTCCCAGCCAGAGGGAGTCAGCACCTCACATCTAAACAGTAACCTTTGTACACTGTCTTTAAAATATAATCTCAGCAAATATCAGCTACTGGATTGATTCCAGTGTCCCAATTGTGTTTAATTCAGTTTCAGCTGTGGTCCATACTTCAGCAGAAACAAGATGTACCTGTGGTTTTGAAAATGACAATAGTCACTAGTTTACAAACCAGGGCAAACCAGTATTCACATTTAAACAGTTACCTTTGTACACTGTCTTTAAAATATAATGTCAGCAAATATCAAATCCTGGATCAGTTTTAATGTCCAATTGTTTTAATCCATTTACTGCTGTAGATAGACATCTATATTCAGTTAACATAAGGTTAACAGTATCAATGTAATTGTTCTTCAGTCAGTGTAGCTGAAGGGTTATCAGTGCAACTGTTGCCAATGATTCTTGTACATCAGGGGTTAATGAACACAACTTTCATCCTCAGAGCCTTATATGCATGGTGTGTATTTGTCAGTGATTTCCATTCCTCTGTTGTACAGCAGGACAAAGTATTTCCAGCTTGTTCCTCCAGGGCACAGCAGATTGTCAGGTTGACACAATTTACACAAATTATCTGATGTTTCTGGGATCACGAAAGAAGCACCTGAGGTCACAGGCAGATGGACCAGTTCTTCTCAAACCCATTCAGTTGAGTCAATTATTCCTGTCACAAGTACTCACAGAGGTAATCGGTTGACTGTCCAGGCAGGTTCACGGAGGAGTCTTCTATTCAGATATGAGGTCTTGGGGCATATATCATTATGTCAAGTTGTTGTTAGGATAGTAGTATGTGTTGTATCACATTGAATGCATCTGTGTCACTTATCCTTGTTTCTACAGGGACAATGAATGAGCAAGCTATAGTGGGATAGGTTTAAATATTCCAGTCAATTGTTCTTGTCACAAGTAATCATCACTGATTCTGTTGCCCTGGGCAACTTATGGTCGGTGGAGGTCTAAATGGTAAAATATCCATCCATACATCAATTTGTGAGTTCAGAGGCCACATGCTGTGAGAAACACTTCTACAAGTCTTCACAAATTCCAAAGAAATAACAACACTGAGACATCTTTGATAAGGCCAAGCATTTCAAGAAAATAACCTGAAAGTCGTTTTCACAATCACAAATGTCAAGCGAAGACTCTCATCACACAAGCCGTCGTGACAGAAAACAGTATTGGATAATGACGAATTATTTTTTTCCCATTTTCACATTCGAAGCTCATAAGGTCATCCAACAGTGTCCACACTGAACCATCTGTGACTCTGTGATCACCAAAAGTGGTTAATCCATTTTTGTGAGTTTATCTCAAACAAGTCATTCATAACTGACTGATCCTGGTCCTGAGTTGGAATACTCAGCAGCAGAACAAGCATCACTTGTTGACTGTCCTCAACCCGACTCCGTAACAGCTAACACAGCATCATTCCTCCCACACAACGTTTTTCATCACCAACATACACACGATCTGGATAGCACTGAGATTACTTCAGTGCCATAATCAGATAGGATGCACAAAGGCAGGGAAGCACTTCTAGGCCAGTTATCATTAATCACGTTAAACATCCCGTGTTGGCTCCGTCAATTCCTAGTCGGGACAGTAGACCAGAACCGTCACGCAAAATGTCCACAAATTGTCCGCAATACGAACCAATCGTGCACACATCTGATACGCCGTCACACGGATCTCGAGTCATCACTCATTATCTAGCCGTTTGTTGAGGTTGGCATTTAGCGTCAGAAAGTTAACATGAAAACTGTCTTTCTATATATCCTCTTCACAGTCACTCCACGGTAACACTTGCTCATCACGGAAACACAGCACTCTGTAATCAATACATTGGTGAGAAGACATTAGCCCACTTGGACGGTAAATACACTGACATGACTGTACTTAGCCGAACGTGGGATAATAGGATATATATCATTCATAAACTGATTAGATGAATATTTAAAATAATATTTAACTGAAATAGACTTTTATCATAGTTTGGGACATAGAAGTTTGAAAGAAATTTGATGAAAATAAAATCTATTAAAATATTATTTTTTTTTATTGGATATAACTTCACTTTATGTATGAAAATGATAGCTTCATTCCTGAACAAACATTTACATTTTGTATATAGACTGATGGCTTCTTAAATAACATTTGAGTTTGGTGATTCAATTTTGCTGAATTCAAATGTAAATGTTTCTTTAACAGAAAGCAAGAAAAAGATCAAGAAGAAAGCAAATCTATTTTGCAATTTCAGTCATCTTTTAAGATATATTACATAAACTTCGCCAATCTTATGTCAAACCTGTTCTGGTAACGATATATATTTATAGGCTTTTACTTTTTAAATTAAAAAAAAAATAATTCAATAATGCAGAACATTTTACAAACCTATTGCAGAAGATGTCAGAAGAAAACACCAGATCAATTGACTTTTCTGTTTTTGACAATTTAATATGCCAAGAATTTTAAAGTTTAAATAAAAGAGAAAAGAAAAGAGAAAATATTAATTTTTAAAGAATTCCTTTTTTAATTACAATCAGTCAACCATGACAATATTTCAAGTTTCATTTGAGATACCTTACTATATCCCCCAAAATAAAAAAGATAATAAAACAAACTGATCAGTTATGACAAATGTGAGTAACATGCGACAGCAAGTCACCCCTTCGCAATGAAACAGTACGGTGTCAGAGGGCTGTTGGTGAAAGTGTGAAGGTCACAGGCAACGCTTCCTCCGCAAGTATGTACAAATACCATCCCTCTGTCAGCTATAGTCCTTCACATTCAACTGATAATCATAAATCAATCACTATTACACACACCAAATTCTTCTCCTTTTATGCCATAAAAACCTCTCTCTGAAACTGTACCGATAGATGAAGGCAATCATGCTGTTAGCCTCTGTTCAATAATTGAATCGTGCTCCCACAATGGGCAATATGGCTTGGCAAGGAGAGGGGCCGAAGAACACCGGTGTCTTGTCGTACCAGATGTTGGCAATCTCACTCAAAGTGGGTCATCGTAAATCAGCTGATTGGTCTGGTTTTCAAGCCACGTCTTTGATATTTTCACTTTCTCGCTAGAAATCACGTGCACACACAATTGAGCAATTTTCTCCAGTTCAGTAATGTTGGCGATATCCCATTGAAGCAGGTGCTTGAGGTTGCGTATAGGTGGCTGCATGCATCACACTGGTCACTGGTCATCTTATGTCCAATGGTGACTGGGAGAAGTATACATTCCAGATGTAAAGTTGATTGGTCAATGAGATTTGTGGACATATTAACGCATCAGTAACAAAAATGATGTCTGATGCAATTCCCTATTTTGACTTGTGGTATATGTTCCCGTGTCTTTTTTAGATGATCGTTGACTTGCCTTTGCATGTATTTGTGATAGGTGACATCAGTGAGGTGAAAACCTGGTAGCATCACTACATGTACTAAGATCCTTGTGTCTACTATGGCTGAATCTTCTTAAAGGCAACTCCTCTTGTAAAAATTAAACAAGGGTGTATAAACTCAAGAAGACATATTGCAAATCGAACAGGTTGGTTTGTATTGAACTTCCAAAACACTCCACAAACATCCCTGTTTCTACCTTCCTTTAAAGGGGAGTTCCCCTTGTATCAACCACGACATATCGGTATATCATAGGGCCACATGCACAGCTGGTTTGTGTTAATCTTCCTCCATGCTCCATTTAGTTCCACTTGTATCATTAAAGTGGAACTAGGTAAAACTCAATGTTTAATTTTCCAACATACATGAAGACATTCCTTAAAGGGGATTTCCTCTTGTGTCAACTCACAACTCTTGTGTACGACACAAATGAAAGAGTCAGCTACATGTGGAGTTGGTTTCTCTTTCTGACACACTCCATTAAGATCCCTGTTTCTTTATCCTGGTCATTCAAAGGGGAATAATTCTGTTTAAGACTATGCAGTCAGCCTAGACTCCTTACATAATATCATACCATTTGTTTTAATTTTTCAAGAAGCAATCCTTGCATTTGTATGTAGAAACAGACCATGGCCACAGGTCACAACATACCATAACGCCTTAAAGAAGCAATCCTATGTAGAAACATACAATGGCCACAGGTCACAGCATACCATAACGCCTTAAAGAAGCAATCCTATGTAGAAACACACATTTTGGCCACAGGTCACAGCATACCATAACGCCTTAAAGAAGCAATCCTATGTAGAAACACACATTTTGGCCACAGGTCACAGCATACCATAACGCCTTAATGAAGCAATCCTATGTAGAAACACAACATGGCCACAGGTCACAACATACCATAACGCCTTAAAGAAGCAATCCTATGTAGAAATGGCCCCAGGTCACAGCATACCATAACGCCTTAAAAAAGCAATCCTATGTAGAAATGGCCCCAGGTCACAACATACCATAACGGCTTAAAGAAGAAATCCTATGTAGAAACACAACATGGACACAGGTCACAGCATACCATAACGCCTTAAAGAAGCAATCCTATGTAGAAACACACAACATGGCCACAGGTCACAGCATACCATAACGCCTTAAAGAAGAAATCCTATGAAGAAACACAACATGGACACAGGTCACAGCATACCATAACGCCTTAAAGAAGAAATCCTATGAAGAAACACACCATGGCCACAGGTCACAGCATACCATAACGCCTTAAAGAAGCAATCCTATGTAGAAACACAACATGGACACAGGTCACAGCATACCATAACGCCTTAATGAAGCAATCCTATGTAGAAACACACCATGGCCACAGTCACAGCATACCATAACGCCTTAAAGAAGCAATCCTATGTAGAA